ACAACAACAACAACAAAAACAACAACAGCAACAACAACAACAACAACAACAAAATCCCAACTCAGTTTGCCTGTTGTAATCTACTCATCCATTATCATTAATCCATCTCTTTCTCTCTCTCTCTCCGTCTCGTTCCCAGCATTCCTGGTGCAAGTGTTGTCCAGGGAGAAGCAGGCGGGCTGGGTTCGCTTCGCTGTTGCCATCACCAACTCATACCAGAAGGGCGCGAACGGGCGAGTGTCGCGACGGTCAGATACCTCCTACCTGTGGGTGCCTAAGGAAGACCTCAAGTGCAAATGCCCCAAGGTCCGACTCGGTCGCCGCTACCTGGTGGTAGGGAAGATACGTCATGACGAGAAGGCACGGCCTGGCATCGTGGTAGATAGGACAACGTCCGTGATCCGCTGGAAGGACAAGTGGCAGAGGAGGCTCAGGAGGTTCCTGTTCCACGAGATCAAGGGCAGATGTCGAGCGTAATGACGAGGGGAGGTACCCCGCACGGCCGCCGAAGAGGGGAGGGAACGTGAGAGGTGGCGGAAGAAGAGACTGACTTATGTTGTGGGATGATGGAAGGAGATGAAGATAGAGAGATTATGTGAGATGACAGAGGGAAGGGGAGACAGAGAGATTATATAAGATGATGGAGGGAGGAGAGAGAGGGGAAGGGTACTCCTTGTACGAAGTGAAGGTGAGAGATGGGGGAACATAGATATTTTGTGAAATGAACGAAAGAGATGGAAAGAGAGGGAGTGAGAGATCATTCTAAATGGAGGAGGGACAGGGTGAGACAGAGAGGAGATCGTGCCAGATTGATGGAGAAAGAGACAGACAGATATCAGAAGATATTGGAGAGGAAGTTTGAGCCAGAGGGATGTTCATCGACGAGGAAGTGAACACGGAGAGGAAAGTCCCTCAATATAATGGTGTAAGAGAAATCATGCACGACGAATGAGACGGACCCTTCTAATCTTCTGTGTGGGGTGATGGAAATATGTGAGCTCGATACAGGAAACTTTTTTTGGGTATCCTGCGAGCTGGTCGAGGGGCGGGTGACTGAATAGTTGAAATACACTAAGTACCACTGCTAGAGATAACAGTAACGTCTTGACCAACAGGATACGTGGTGTTACCACATCTTGTCTAGCTGTGCATGTGAATCTGCTAGATGCAACAATGTTCTGAGGACAAGCAGAAGAAAAAAGGGATGGCATGAGAACAGAAAGAGGAGCACAAGAGCAGAAGATTCTCTCCTGGTCTTAGCGAGAAACAGACACTGCCATTCCTGATAGCAGTTAGTGTGGTGGGCGAGTCCACAGACCCATATGGAAGTTGAATTCAGCTGGACGTCCGACGATTGAGTGATTTGACTCAGATTGGGGGGAAATCTGAAGATGTTATTTGTTTGTGAGTTTCTAGAGGGAATTTTCTAAGGATCAATGTGAACAAGATGTCGATAGAGATAACTCATCGATGTCTTGCAGGCTGGGGGAGATGACATCTCCCAGACAGTGCTAGTGTTTAAGAAGACAGAAACTCGCCCATGTGAGAAAATACACCCCACTGCCTAAAAATAAAAGGGGGAAAAAGGGGAAAAAATACTTTGTATGCATCTAGGAAAAGAAATCCACCTCGCTTTCTGGCGTGGCCAAAGAGAAATCCAATCCCATTAGTCCACTGTTCTGCATAATACAAGGCTGGGAGCGTATTTCCGGTTTGTGGGCACCTTGCACCGACGTTATCACACAGGACCTCAAATATGGGCAGACGAGATAACGAGAAACTGAGAGACGTCACGAGACGTTACGTTACGTTGCCTCGTCCTTTGAGCTCTCCATCCAGCATACGTCACATCCTGTTGCATCGTCTCTGGGATGTCCGGAAATCCAGATCTATCCAGTTCGAGATGGTTTCCGATGACATATGTGACGCTGCCCCCTTTCCCCTCACACCTTTCTTCCACCCGCAATCTCTCTGCTACAGATCACACCCTGCCCTCCTCCTACACAGTGCCGTGTTTCTATCTGTGGAATGTTGTTCTTAATGTTTCTCCCTCAAAAATAGTAAACGTTATGTCTGTGACACTGCGGTTCGGTCACTGAAAGGCACACATTGTTCTCACCAAAATCAGTTGATATTTTCACTGAAAATGGAAGTCCAGCAAATTCCCAGTATGACGAATCTCGTGGCGACCAGGCGAGATGGCGATGAATTGCAAGTGTGGAACCCCTCGGCTTAGCTGGATCAGTGTCTGGCGTCTGCCTGTTCAGACAGACGACGTTTTTGTACAACTATCATAAACAATATCACATGTATTCGTTACCCCACCTGGAATGGAGGGGGTTATTGGAAGAGAAACATTGTCTTACTGTTTCTTCATGATGGCCACGTATTTTGTTTAATCGTCAGTGGGTGCATACATTAATGTCATGTTCTTGGTATCTACCACTAAACATATTTCAAGCCTTGTTTTGTATTATTTTCAAGGTCAAATATGTCCGTTAAGTTTTGCTGTACTGTCCACTGTTCGTGTTTTGTACTTAAGATGAATGATTTATCAAAATGTGCAAATGGCAGGAACCCGAGGCACGTGGGTCTCAAATACCTAGGAGTTTGTGGAAAACTAGGTTTTTGAGGGTTTTTGGGGTTTTTTAAATTAAAAACTTTTTGTACCCAAATGTTAGATGATCCCCATAGATGAAAGCCTTGAACTATTTCCTGGACTCCTGGACCTGTTACCAGTCTGACTGAAAGCCCAAACAACGGCCCCAAATGTACTAATTCTTTTCTTTTTAAAAACGTTGCTCTGATTTTGTAACAAAAGTACAAGTGACAAGTTTGTTAAACAATTTATATTGCAAACTTATGTTAGACCCACAGGTTATCTTCAAATTCTGGTCTCAGGAATTATATAATCTGAGTTTTCTGAATCTTCA